CCTGAAGGCTTTAAAACTTGGAAGATAATGATTGTAAATAGATGGCTAATTCTGTTTGTTCGTGTTTTTTTTTTTTATCATTTTAGTTTCAGAAGGAATTTTTTGGTATTCTGTTGCAGAAATTGGATTTTCTCTTAAAATATGACCATTCAATATACTATTGATTTCTTACTCTGAAGCACAAGAATATAAAGTGTTGGGAGGAAGTCCATCTTTTGGCAATTGAGCTATCTGAACGGCAGCTTAATTCTCTTAGGAAATTCTCTTAACCAAAAATCAACATTTTATAATCCTTTTATTTCAACCCTTATTTTTCCTTATATTTTAATTTATAAGTTTGGGTCATTCAAGCTAATTAATACAGTGATGAACTAAAACTTGAAGAAGCCACTTAAAGTGGCAGAGATGATTTTTACTGGGAATCAGTAGCATAGATTTTTTTTTTTTAATAAATGTATTTATTTATTTTTGGCTGTATTGGGTCTTCGTTTCTGCACGAGGGCTTTCTCTACTTGTGGCAAGCGGGGGCCACTCTTCATCGTGGTGCGCGGGCCTCTCACTGTCGCGGCCTCTCCTGTTGCGGCGCACAGGCTCCAGACGCGCAGGCTCAATAGTTGTGGCTCACGGGCCCAGTTGCTCTGAGGCATGTGGGATCTTCCCAGACCAGGGCTCGAACCCATATCCCCTGCATTGGCAGGCAGATTCTCAACCAGTGCGCCGGCAGGGAAGCCCAGTAGCATAGATTTTTAAAGTTCATCTCTCATTCAAAACTTTGTGTGAACTTTCTTTTGTCAACCGGCATCTCTCACTTCGGAAAAGCAGCATCACCTGTCACCCCATTTCTCTGCCATGTACTCCGGAATTACTTGCACCAAATAGGTACGATTGAATTATTAATCAGGTCTTGTTAAGATCACCGAGCAAAAAAACACAAGCAAGGTAAGTACTGCCAACTACTATCTGTATTCTGTGAATAAAGCTGGGTGTGGATTATCATTCAAGTGCAACTCATTTATTAATAGATCAGTGACTTTCTTAGTTGTATACATAGATGGTCTCATTTCAGTACTGATCTCAACAAAACTTTTTCAGTCTTTGTTACAGAGTACTGAAAAAGTTAAGTAGAGAAAACACCTCATCTCTTTTAATCATCCACATTAAAAAACAAAATAAAATTTCATGAAACTATTCTTCCCATATAAGTGCTGCACATACGCCAGAAGCTGATTCGGTGGTTTCACCCAAATGTAAAGCAAAATATGGGATTGCCTCAACATGAAACAATAACTACTGTCACACATGTATATGGCAAAAACAAAACTGGCAATAGCTTGTCCTGCTCTCTTTTAAAGCATAATTTGGGCTTTACAGTCTTGTTGGCAGTGGTGTGACCTGCACCTGTTTTTGCTCTGGTAAGTGCAACTAAGAAGCATGGCTCTGTAGTTCTTGTTCTTTTCTCCAACAGTCCTGACAACATTTATAACTTTCACACTGGAAAGTATTTACTGGCAAATATTTCTGAAAAGCCAAATAATTTAACCACAGAAATTCTGAGCATTATTTGAATAAGAAACCAAAACTTCAAAGGTTTCATGCCAGCATGACAGGCAGTACCCAAGAGACCAGGAGTGAAATTACACGTTATTTTCAGGTATTCATCATCTTACATCATCGTACTTCCTAGTTGTACTTTATTGGCTTGTGGATTCACCTGTCTAGCAAAATGCGTTCATATTTTATATTTTTATTGAACAAATTTTCACTAGATGGATTTGCAATATTATTCAATGATTCAGAATTTTTGTATACATATAGGCTTCACACTTTTATCATTACTTCCCACAGTTACTGTAAAACAACCCCATAAGAATAATAAAAATCCCAGACGTAACAAATATAAACAATACTATGCAACTGGTATGAAATGTTAGCCAAGATGAAGGGACCAAACCAATTTCTATATAACATGTATTGCCTTTAAGAACAAAATTATTACTAAGGACGGTGTTGTGAACATAAAATTAATCTTCTTAGTCCAAGTTTATAAAATGTAAGGTAGATAAATTATATCATCTCTTTTTCCCCTCTGAAATTTTTGGACTGCTTATAGATCAGTTATAGATTTGCATGGACCACTAATGATAAACATAGCACACTTTACCACAGAGTTTGTAAGATATATTTATAATGCCTATACAATGTCTCCATATTTCTTTTCATTTTTTTTCTTACTCCCATCCTCTTTTTCCTTACCAAGGTCTTTAAAGAAGAAGGCCTGTGTGTTTATGTGAACAGATATCTACATCGCACTTACATCTCCAGCATCAGCTTCTCCCCTAAGCTTCAGACTTAGATACCTGCCAGACATCTCTACGTGGATGTCTGAAAAGGACCATCAATTTACTATGCCCAGAACAGAGCTCTTGCATAGTCTTCTCCAAACCTGGTCCACCCCCAGAGATTCCCACCTCATTATATCACCACTGATCCGATTGTTCAAGTCCAAACCTAAGAATCCATTGAGACGCCTCTCTCTCATCCATATATCCAATATGTCGATGCTTATTGTCTTTATTCTCAAAAACATACATATTGAACCTGACAACTCCCCACTACGTGCACTGCTGTCACTTTGGTCCAGGCTGCCATCATCTCATCTCTTACGTGACCTACTCCTTACCTTATTACTGGTCTCTCTTATTTCTACTCTTGCACAGACACTTGTATTCTCTCAGTAGTCAGAGGAACATTTTTAAAAAGCTAATCAGGTGAGGTCAAAACTCTCCAAGGGCTTCTTATCATGCTTAGGATAGAGTCCAGTGTTCTTACCATGGCCTGCGAGGCCTTGTGTGATCTGCTCTCCAGCTGCCTCTAGGAAGCCTACCTTCCTTATTTCACTGTTCCTTCCATGGACTGAGATAATTCTTGCCTCTGTTTTTTCACTTGTGATTTCCTCTGCCTGGAACACTATACCCCTGATACCTGTGTGACTTGTTCCTTCAATTAGGTTATTTTCTGACCACCCTAATTTAATAGAGCCCTACCCATACTCCCTTAATCCTGCTTTATTTCTCTCCATAGTCTTGTCACTTTCTGATATTGTATTATATATTTATTTATCATCATTTTCTCACTGGAATGTAAGTTCCATAAAAGTAGAGACTTTGCACTGGTCACAAGTCAAATTCCCAGTGAGCAGAGAGAGATATTTGATGGTTCCTATTCTTTAGTTAGTTCTGTGGAAATAGAAAGGTGATAGGATATCTAAGATGAAAAGTCAGCCACCAAATCTCAGGGGAGTAGCACTCTGTGAAAGATAGGGGACTTAGCCTTAGTCTACAGAGTGACTACAGGAGGCCTGTGGAGTTTCTACATATCTTATACCTTTCCCACTGAGCAGCTGATAGCCGAAAATTCATACACTTTGAGGAATTTTCTTTCAGTCTTCGGTCAAATTCATCGATTAAAGTTTAGAGATAGGGGACTTCCCTGGTGGCGCAGTGGTTAAGAATCTGCCTGCCAATGCAGGGGACATGGGTTCAAGCCCTGGTCTGGGAAGATCCCACATGCCAAGGAGCAACTAAGCCCGTGCACCACAACTACTGAGCCTGCACTCTAGAGCTCTCAAGCCACAACTACTGAGCCTGTATGCCACAAGTACTGAAGCCCGTGCACCTAGAGTCCATGCTCCACAACAAGAGAAGCCATCGAGTGAGAAGCCCGTGCACCGCAACGAAGAGTAGCCCCCGCTCACTGCAACTAGAGAAAGCCTGCATGCGACAACGAAGACCCAACACAGCCAAAATAAATTAATTAATTAATTAATTTAAAAAAAAAGCTTAGAGATAGAATTATGGTTATTTCCTTAAGCTGCGTTCATTATAAACAAAAATTAAGTAGTTAACACCTTCACTTAATAAAGATTTAGCACAAGCACAGTCTAAGTCAAATCCCAGCAAAATCCAAATATTAACCTCATTGGGTAGGCTATGGTTTAAATATGTAGTGAGAGAGGTCTTGTGTGTCTCTGCCTTAGGCACTTGAGGTTTTTTCACTTAGTGACAACTCATAAACTAGCACTGTTGAGGCACAGAATGTGTGTTACCCACAAGTAGAGTTGCAAAGAGGAAGGGAGGCTGATACAAGCATTCCTTGAGAGGTGCATGCCCTCGGCTACAACAAACTCTCCTGGCAGTCACTGGGTTCAGCTGGCTTTGGAGAGGAGGACAGTACTTAATTCACTACTGGGGACTTCTAGCAGGACAAATATGTTGGATATATGGACTTTAAGTGCTAATTAATGAATTATTATTTAGTACCTGATAGGGAAGGGGTGATGGGCTTACTGAATAAAACAATGTAGTGTATATATCTTAAGTGAACATCTTGTAACCAGTGAAATACATTAATTGATTAGTCAATTCCACCACCAGTCAATAAAAAATTCAAATAGTCATTTTAAACACACTTGTTTCACCCCAGGCTTCTTGAAACTGTTAACCAGGAAAGCATTATAAAGATTTGTTGAAGGGCATATCAGCCTGTTCAATTTCCCCTTATTGCACTAGACAGTAATGTCCGGATAACTATAACTTTAGTCAGTAGGAGGCTCCTCTTTCAGATTTACCTGAGGAAGATTTAGCTGAGTGTTCTTTTAAGAAAAGCTCAGTCCCCATTAATCATGACTATTTCTCCCTGAATTTCCAGATGACTTCCTGTGACTACTAAATAGTTTAGACTACACGCCAGAGTCCCCTGCTGAGGCAGTCACTTCATTGGTACCATAAGATCAACATTTGGTTTTATATGAATGCATAAATCCTAACTGAATCTAATTTTGGAATTTAGCAGACTAAATTATTTTTATCATCTGTCCAAGCAGTTAGAAAGCTAAGATGCAGTTACAATCTTAACTATTTCAACTGTTTGTGTGGAAAAGACATGTTTTCTATTCAGAAGACATATGGCAGAATATAGTTATTAAAATCTTAGTCTCATACCTCTCGAATAGCAGTACAAAACTCACTCTGGAGCACTTTTTTGAGGGACTGTAGCTTGTGCACTGGTACTTCTCCAGATTCCTGCAGTTTTTCCAGTAATTCAATTGCTCTGGCAACATCTGAATGAAAAAAAAAAAAAATCAAAATGGAGAGACATGGAGTAAACTGAATCTCATCACTGAAGTACCATCATTTCAGTGACAATGAAAAGTAAGTGGAATTAATTGCAAAATGAGAATTTACAATTCATAGCTTATTGATCTCATCTTTTGATAAAAGGTCATTTAAATCTGTTCCACACAATTTGTCCCTTAATACATCTTCCTTAATGGCATTTCTCATAAGTTACTTCTTGTCACACAAATTAGTTTGAATATTCTTTCAGGAAAGAAGAGCAGGGAGCATGTCTTTTGTATATTCTGATACCCCAATAACCAAATGAATCCTGTTAATTTTACCTCTGAGATGCTTTTTTCAGGTTTTCTTTTCGCATTCCACATTTATCACACCTGCATTTTTACAGTTATTAGTATGACGATTTGATTAATGTGCATCTCCTCCACTTGTCGATAAACTCCTTGAGGGTAAGAACTTAATTGGGTTTATTCATCACTGCAGCCCCAGAGTCTGGTGTAATTTATGTGGTTAACACCAGGCTACGGTCATTTAAGTTTTAAGGCCCCCCTTTATCTTGGGAACAATTAAATTATACTAAGGATAACCAGCCTAATAATGCTAGGAAATTGGGCCTTATGGACAGTGCCAATATATAATTTCCCTGAAAGATAAGGACCAGTAGAGAACAGACTAAGTCGGATGACCTGGGGGTATACTGGGCCGCACCTAATGGAAGAATAAAATTAATTCTTACTTATGACTTCAAAAATACTGCTAGCTATGTTATTCGCACTTTGCCTGTTTTACCAGATTGTTGTTTCTTGCGTTACCAAATGTGTCAATGAGCCTCTGACAAAAATATATAGCTCTATTGATTGTAACAGTGTAACTCCAGATATGGCAAGATGCAACAAGAGGGGATTTTTTCCTGGACTGCAACAGACTGGTAAGACAGACGGTCCAGAGACTTTTGGCTACTGTTAATAAGGTCTAGTCCAATAATAGCACATAGAGTGGCCTATCAACAAAATCTTCGCCACACCTGGGAATGAGCATTCCTAGCACTGTGGAACAAAATGGTCATGAAATACCTCTCAAACCATGGTCGAATTTATGACAGTGAGGGGGCCCTGTCACCTACAAACTGGCACTTGCCATCTACCTCCACAAGGATCCAACTATGAGCGGCTGCAGCTGCTGCCCTCCAACACCCCCTGAAAGGAGTTCAAGGTGGAGGTCGATAATGAGGCCCTCTGTGCTCTGGGAAAAACTGGCAGAACAGGTCTTTAGATAGTTATATATTTTCAGGAGAAGATTTTATGAGCCCAGTTCTTGCATCTCCTCGTATCTAGAAAAGCATTAAAATCCTTCATGGTGGTGTCTGCTCCTCGTGACTAGCAGTAATTTTCACAGGACCAGCAGAAACCTTCTCCAAAAAGTAAGAGCTTGATTGCATGTATTCCCCCTCCACAAAAATCACATATACGTTGACCTTCCCTCATACCTCTTTGGAGCAGTTTCTCAGAACTATGTGGAATGCTGTCTCCCGGGCTATAGTCCTCATTTTGCCCCAAATAAAACTCACACACACACACACACACACACACACACACACACACGTTAATATATCAAGAAACACAGTCTCTTATAGCCATAGCTTTAAAATTCCCAGGATGGTCTTGTATTGCCAAAAGAAAATGATATGATGAAGGCTATTTTAAAAATACTTATGGTGGGGCTTCCCCGGTGGCACAGTGGTTGAGAGTCCGCCTGCTGATGCAGGGGACACGGGTTCGTGCCCCAGGTCCGGGAAGATCCCACATGCCGCGGAGCAGCTGGGCCCATGAGCCATGGCCGCTGAGCCTGCGCGTCCGGAGCCTGTGCTTCACAATGGGAGAGGCCACAAGAGTGAGAAGCCCGCGTACCGCAAAATAATAATAATAATAATACTTATAGTGATCTCTTCTACCTCTCTTGCTGTAGTCAATAACTCACTGAAAAGTCACTTAGGCATTTATGTATAGAATAGAGATTTTCAATTCCTAAGTGATTAACTCCAGAAAGTATCCCGTATCCCTGCCATCAGATTATAAATTCATCCATCCATCCATCCCTCAATTTGTCTTCCTATTAAACTTGGCACTAGCTTAACAAGATACACTTCTGAATTCACAGCTAAATGAGAAAAAAACATAACAGTATAGCTACCTATAATAAAATTTCTACCACCTCTGAATTAGGGTGGGGTTGGTATAGGTTTATGTATCTAACCAAAGAAAATAACCAAAAAGTAACTTTAATGGAGACTCTCCTTTGACGTACTGCCAACTGATTGCCAATCTTAGCCCAAGGAAGCATAAATCCTGAAATCAGTAAGACACTGCCAGTTTCAAAAGTCTGTCCTTTGTTACATAAACTGAAAGTCAACATAGTCAACTGTACCACACCAGCAACATCCACAATCAGTAAGATACCAAGCTAAGAATTGTATGCATTTCTAACTGCATGAAAGACTCTAGATGCCAACAGGCACTTGGGACTCTCAACATGTTTAAAACTGTGCTCATCATATTTTTTTCCTGAAATTAGCTCTTCTCTTCTTATATTCCATATTTCTATTAATAGCATCTCCATCCAGCCTGTCTTCCAAGCTAGACCATGGCATCATCTTTCAGATTCACCCCCACATGCAATTAGTCAGTAAGTGCTGCAGGTTCTATCTCAAAATGTCTTTTGAATGGAAACCCTTTGCTTCATTACTTCTCTCCTGAGGTACTGGAACATCTCCTAACTGTTCTTTAAGTGGCTTTTCTTTTACAGTCCACTGTCCACTCTGCTCCCAGAGTGATAAATCTCATTATTATACTCTCTTGCATAAAACCTTCTCTGGCTTCCTACTGCCTAAAGGGTGAAGTTCGGACCACTTAGGGCTACATACAAAGCCCTTAACAACCAGCCTCTTATGACTCATCTCTAGAAACCTCCTCCTGCCCATCCTATACGTTGACCATCCAAAATTTTCACTATTCTAGGACATGCCACAGGAACACCATGTCTCTGTGACTTTGTACATATCATCCCCTGTTCCTGGAATGCAATTAATTTATTCATCCAATAGTGCCAGGCATGAGAGACACTGTGGTAATAGAGACAGACGGGTGCTCTTGCTTTCATGGCATTTATAGGTCTGACGGATCACAGATACCCAACAGAGAGGGCATGAGCTATAAAAGCAGCTCTACAGGCTAGTACATGGATGTCTAACCAATACATTTATCATCATCCAGGAGGTCAGGGAGGAGCTCTTTGTGAAAGTAACAGCTAAGCAGAGCCCTGGGTAGGAGGTACAGGTGAGGAAAAGGAGAAAAAAAGTTCCAGGCAAATAAGTGCGGATTGAAGTCTTACCAAGAGAGTGTGGGGCATTCACAGAACTGAGAGTTCAGTATGGCTGAAGTTGAAACCAGGCCAAGAGTAGCAAGAGATGCAGTAGAGAGAAATCATATCACGGAGGGTGTGTTAGGTCATGTAGGGAAGACTTGGCTTAAATAGCATCTCCTTAGGCATGTCTTCCCTGACCCTCCAAGGCTGATTTAGTTGCTATCATAGCCATGATCCCACAGTCCTTTGTTCACTTATCCATTGTAATAATTACTACTCTCTGCTATAGCTCTTTTTGCATATATGTCTCCATCCTTCACCCTTGCAAATATATTAGCTTCTTGAGGTCAGGAACAGTATCTTATTTGTTATTGTATCCATAGTTCAATGAGGAGTACTTGACAGATATTAGGTGTTTATATTTGTTGAATGAATGATGGATTAATTAATGAGACTAGCTAGGAAGGCAGGGGTTAGAGGTCTATGTCTAGGTGGACATATAACTAACTTCTCCTGAGACGAAACCTCCAGATCACTATCAGCCATGATCAAGACTGGCTTGGGTCTGGTGTGGGGGGAAAGGACTCAAGCCTGAATCTGTAGGCTAAAGGGTATCACGTGACTGAACTAGAAGAAGTTCAGAAAAGCTGAAAGTGACTATTCAGGAGTTCTCACCCTGGACTGCACTTTAAAATTACCTGGAATACATTTTAAAATTATTTATTTATTCCCCCATTTTATTGAGATATAATTGACATATAACACTGTATTAGTTTAAGTGTACAACATAATGATTTGATATATGTATACAGCAAAATGATTACCACAATAAGTTATTAATGCCTGAGACTCACCCCAAATGAATTAAACCAGAATATACGGAACAGTGGTTCTCAACCTTGGCTGCAGACTGGAACCACCTGGGGAGCTTTAAAACCCTTGGATACCTGGGTCTCACCCCCGAGATTCCAGTGAGATTGGCATGGGGGAGGCCTAGGCATTAGGCTTTTGAAAGCCCTCAAGGTGATGCTGAAGTGCAGCCATGGTTGAGAACCACTGGTCTAGTTGGCATGGGTAGTTTTATAGCCCTATTTAATTCAAATGTGCATGCAGGGTTAAGAACCTCTGCTACAAATCAATGGTTCTAAAACATGAGTGTGCCTAAGAATTACCTGCGGAAATGTATTAAAATGTAGGTTCCTGACCCCTCAGCCCCACTTGAGGGAGGTTGATTCAGGAGGTATGAGGATAGGCCCAGGAATTTGCCTTTTAAACAAATGATTCAAGTGATTCTAAAGTAGTTTCACAGATCCCATTTCAAGAGATAGTGAACAAAATGATGGTTCAGGTTTCTTTCAGCCCCAGCGTTCCAGAAACACTTGCATTTTCTATTATTCTTTGATACCCTGTAGAACAGGATACTGAATGGGATTCTTCTGGGAGTCTCAGAATTATTGACAAAAGTTCATGAATGAAAGTAATTAGTGTTAAGTACCAGCCCCATCCTGAAACAATGCTCCTAGCAAAGGCTGCTCACCTGGATCACCTGTGGAGTTTTAAAACCAGCCTGCTTCCCCAGACCAATTATTCAAAATCTCTAAGTGTCATATCCAGTCATGAGGTT